GCCATAAGAAGACAAAAAGAAAAAAAAAACTGTACGTAATGTGTTACACATGGAGTTTTTTAAAAAAAATATTATTTATTTAACCTTTATTTATCCAGGTAAACTGTTTGAGAACCACTTCTCATTTACAAACATGACCTGGCATGCACTGAGTGCATTGCAATATACAAACCTACATATTCAGCCACAGTGAAGTGATTGTAAACTTTAATCGTGATTGAAATTTTTAATCTATGCCCATGCAGCACTAAAATTAATCAGTTAACTCAATTTATTTCACAGCCCCTATATATATTAACCTTTATTTATCCAGGTAAACTGTTTGAGAACCACTTCTCATTTACACACATGACCTGGCATGCACTGAGTGCATTGCAATAAACAAACCTACATATTCAGCCATAGTAAAGTGATTGTAAACTTTAATCGCGATTAAAATTTTTAATCTATGCCCATGCAGCACTAAAATTAATCAGAGTTAACTCGATTAATTTCACAGCCCTATTAATAATGTAACATGGATGCTAACTAATTGAAATTTCTGCTTGAGGATAATTGAGATTTATACAAATGTAATTCAAGAAGGTATATTAAATTAAACACTGAAATGATTTTTCAGTGTTTTAGTACCAATAAAACATATTTTTGTTAGGTTCTGCTTATTTGTAACTGCAGCTCATAGCTGTGTTTCACATTAGGTTTCAAAAAACTGTGTTTTTCTTTAGACATTTGTTCCAAAGTTTTAGGTGTTGACCACTGCCCCACCCATTACCTCTTGACCCTTTACCTCCGTGGTGAATTTAGGGGTATCATCAATAAGCAAGAGTATGAAATGATGTGTCAGCCTGATTGTAACACCTATAGTATGAGTTCTGCTTACATGTTGCTGACACTATGCTTCTTTCCATCCAGTGTCATGCGGCCATCCGCCTATGGTGAAGAACACTAAGGTGTTTGGTGATAAGAAGTCTCACTATGAGATCAACTCCATCGTTCGTTATCACTGCAAACCTGGTTTCATCCAGAGACACAAACCAATTATACACTGCCAGCCCAATGGCCAGTGGGAGGTGCCCAAAGTCACCTGCATTAGCCGTAAGAAACCTTTTTATATGAACTGGAAAAAATGGATATAAAAGTTAAACTCTTAAAATAATAACTCTTTCCTATCCCTTTCTCTCATCCTTTAGCTGCAACGTTCCACGACTCAATTGCTCTTCGACGCAACATCATTCAGAAAGAGCAGCAAACCAGGCACCACACCCACCACGCCAAGACTCACGAGGAGCACCATCAAAGCCGAGAGCAAGAACAGAGTCACAACATGCTGCAAAGTGTCCCCAACCCCTTTGAGAACCAAATCCGGCAGGCGCTTCCAAACAACTGGAAGTTGCAGGCCAATGAACAGAACCAGGAGTAGACAGGCCGCTCGAAAACATCTGAGATGGTTGTAGAAGATCAGGTTTGTGAAAGGAAGTAGTTATTGTTGGCTGGCCTTATTGGAGGCATCAACAGACAGAAACAGTGTTTTACACTGAACTGCCTATCAGCGACAAGAACATTGGATTGACCACAAACATTCCAGGATGCACATCGTAACACAAGTGACCATTTAGGTTTTTGTTTTCCACTAAGTGATTGTGCAGTTTTCACACATCACTACTTTTAGGTCACTAATATACTTTTTTGTTTTGTTGTTTTTTTTTTCTTTACAACTTTAAAAAGTGATAGTTTTCCTTTTTTCTTCTAATAGTAGTACAAACATATAACCACCTGGGACCTGCTTATAGCCTATTTATGTTTTGCCAAAGAGTTTTCCTTTTTAACATCCACTTTTGATCACAGTAAGTACCAGAGAAGATTACAGTACCGCTCTCATTTTCGAGCTGTTTAAAACTTTGAAATCTTGTGTTGTACATGGATGCCCAATCCTGGTTCTCAAGGGCCACCTTCCTGCATGTTTTAGACGTTTCTCAGGATAAGAATATTACAGCGAAATTAACTGTTCCCTTATGGTGTCAGGAAATGAAAAGCACAGTACAAGAAAGGGGTAAAGTATTTACAAGATAAAATCAAACAAAGAAATGGTCTCAATTAGTATCTTAGTTAGTTATTGCGCATGAATGTTGCACACTGGTTATTCCACATACATTCCACATTCGTTTGCACATGTATTTGCACTGTGGAACTATTCAGTACCATGATGGCTGTGGTAAAAGCTGTTTTTTTAGTCTCTTTGTTTTAATGCTCCTGTAGCTCCTGCCTGATGGCCGGCGTTGTGACCCGGATGCCAGGAGCCATTTAGAATGTTTGTGGCGTTCCTGAGACAGTGATCTTCTGGGCCGTGTTAGCGATCCCCTGAAGTCTTTTTTCCTTGGTGCAGCTAGAGAACCACACACAGATACTGTAGCACGATGCTCTCAATGCAGCAGTGACAGAATGACACCCACAGTTTTTGACAGAGGTTATTTATTTATTTTTTTGTCTGAAGGCTTTTAGAAAATAGAGTCTCGGGTGTATTTGCACCCCAGGTCAGGTTTTTCACGATATGAACTCTCAAATGAAAGTCTGACACCCACTCCTCACAGTCCAGGTGTGTCTCTCATTTGACACACCTGAGTTGAATGAATGAGCGATTTAACAGGCTTCTGCAGAATTTTGAAGGCATGAAGAAGAGCAGGGAAACAACTAAAACATGTAGGATAGTGGTCCTCGAGGACCAGGATTGGGTTACTATTGTATTAAGACGTTCACATGTTGGTAAATTCTGTCTTGAGCTCAGTCTTAATTTGGTTATATGAACTTGACTTTTTTTGTAGCTAACCTTTGAGTCAAACTCAGGTCCTATTCTAGGCCCAGATCTGGATCTTTTGATTTCTTGTTCTTTGAGAACTTACCTGAACCCTGTTGTCTGCAGCTCTCAGTTCATCTACGAAGACTATAGGAAACTAGGACAGTAGAATAATTAGGTAATGATGTAAAATAGTTGTTTTGCACATGCTGAGTTGGCGTCTTTGGCCTCTGTCCATTCAGTCACAAACTTTTACTGGTGCTGAAACGTTTAGCGTTTGAACATGTGGTACTGAATGAGTCCTTCCACAACGTTCTCCCTCATTAATGTAGTTGTTTATAGCTGCTGTGAATGTGTTGATCCTTTTGCAGTCATGTGTTGAACTGCAAATTCTGAGTATATGGACTGCCATTTATTAAATGCAAATCATTAACACATTTAATCATGCATTTCAAAGCAAGTATACTAGAGACCTTTATCGCTGGACTGATGCCTTTTCTCTGTGTCGAACAGTTCATGGTAAAAAGAAAAAAAGTCTGTTTGGTGAAGTTCAGCCGTTTTGGTCACAGAACAGGGTTCGTCTGACCTGTGCTTATTCTGAAATCTTAAGTGAAAGCTACGCTGTGGGAAAAATCTTTTCAAAACAACTTTTTATTTACTGTAATGAGCTCTTCCACAAGAGCTCTCATTTTAATCTCCTTCTTTGTTTATGTCCGTGTTTTCTCATGGGAAACTCCTGAGAAGACTTTTATGAACGTTTAAGCTCACATGACTTAAAAAGGGTAGAATGTAGGTCACCAAGTGCCACTAAGTGAGCTTATACAATTTATACATACTATACGCCCTGTCTACACTACTCTGAATATTTTGTCAAAAATAGTTTTTCTTCTTTTAATTAAAATGTTTAATTGCATTAATTCAACAAAAATGCAGAAATTTCCACACTGCACCACTAGGTGGTGAAAACACCCACTTACAACACATTAAAATACGTATAAAGGACATTCTCTGCGTTATAGATTCTATTAAAGCCTTTCCTTTGATACAGTTTAAAAATTCCTCAGTTATTGATTGTTTTCTGTGCACGATTAAAATTTAATATCAACAGAATCAGAATAACGCAAGACAGACAAAATAATTATAAAAAGGCTTCTCTAGGACTGAAAGTAGGAATGATCATCTGAAAATTAGGCTGATGTGTCATTGTTTCAGAACAGTTGTGTTTTTTTTTGTGTGTGTGTCCGCACAGACAGACACAAAAAACAGTTTTGAAAAATCTACATAAAAAAACATCTTTACAAAATCCTTTTTTTCTCTTACTGAAAACAGATAAGAGGTGAATAAGTATTAGGAAATCTATTTAAAATATTTGGAGTATGTAGGATAGGGCCATAGAATTCATATAAAGTTATGTGTAAAAATATTAAGACTTTGATTTTTTTAAAAATAAGAAAAATAACATTTATCCCATGAGATTATAAATGTTTTCTCAAGACTCTTATGCTCTGCTTTCTATGTTTTACTGCACAGTAGAAATATAGTTTTTTTTACATTGAAAATCAATAAAACATTGAAAAAAAATCTGTCTGACTGCAAATTTTGACCAAAGCTAAATGAAAAATTCTTGCTTTTGTATCTTTTTAAATAACGCTTTCAATGTAATCTATTCACATTGTTTTGGTTAATTATGCAAACACACTAAGAAAAAACAAACCTAGAACATATAAGAAAAAAAAAACACTAAAAATACATCATCTGCAGTTGCTCACACACTCCTTTAATAAAAAAAAACACAATGCAAATTAGTCATTTGACATAATTAGTTTACTATTTTTATTTAGATTATTGCAAATGTGTTGTTAATAGTCTTATCACTTTAAAATGTTACGTCAGAGCAGTTTCATTTTATTTAGTTTGAGCTGCTTTGGTATGATTCCCCATGTAGATTTTTGTACAGATTTTAGATGAGAGAAGTTTTTATTGAAAAAAAAAATAGGAACAAACCCTAAATGCACACAGAATTAAAGCATTATGAATGTGCAATATGGTTATTAACCCTAAAATATTTAACATAGATACTTTATGAAGCCATATGAGTTTAACTTATTGCATACTTTAACAATGAATGGACTGTGACAATAAATAAAGTTAATTCAAACTGAAGTGATTTCTTTAATATCGATGTTTGCTGTTTACAGTTTCCTGTCATGATGCTTCTGGTTGAAATCATTCAAAAATACAATTGCCTTTTTTGAGGGATTTTTTATGTTCATAGTGTTAAAACTACTTTCCACTACGATTTCAATCAAAATCAGTCCAATAAAGTCACCATCAACATATTTCATTGCTTCTAGGTAACGCTGAAATTTTAAAGTCTCCACATGCTTGTTTTTGATCTTTCTTTTTTTTTTTTTTTTTTGCTACAGATCTGGAATCTGTGTTTTAACTTTAAATCTATGGAAACGTGAAAGTAAATCATAGAAAAGGTGTCAAGATGCTCTTTTTAATGTATATATTTTTTCTACACTATGAAGCTACTATGTTTACTGTCTCTGTGGCATGAAAAGCCTTTTTATGTAATCATTGTTCTATATATTAAAACTGTTCTGTTGTTTAATTTCAGCTGTGTATGCAATAAAATGAGCTGTTCTACATTTCCTGTTTGTCAAGTTGTATTTTATATAGTTTTATTAAAAAATAGCTGAACTTTTGTGCGCAACAAAAATCAAATGAGCAGAATTTAATAATGATAATAAAAATAAAATAAAATGCCTGTTACAAATGACAACTTTTTACTTCATACTAATTGATTGTTTAGGGAACTTTTTTTGCTTTTGTTAATACATAAAAATCAAAGTGTAGTTTTCTCCTGTCTTCTTTTAGTGTAATCAAGATAACTCCCTCACTGTAAAACCCAACAAGTTAAGTTAAGTCAAATGATTTGGGGAAACCGATTGCACAAATCTATTTAAGTTTTGTAACTCAAACTATTTGAGTTTATTTAATTATGTGATTAGAGTTGAAAGAACACGAAGCAATTATGTTAAAGCAACTCAAGCCCCTGGTACCGGGGACAAAATAGCTTTTTTTCTGTTTTCTATTTCCTTTAACTTCTTTTAACTTACGATCTGTCAGTTGAACCTGGACATGTTTGGTATCAATAGAAATCATGAGTCTTTGCACAGGTAATGTCCACAAGTGGATTTATGGTTTCCAAAAGATTTTAGCCCACTTCATTATTGGTTTAAATAGGTTAAATACTGTCTAATGAAAAAAATGTTCAGGTGAGAGTAAAAAAAAAAGTTCCATCCCCAAAATTATCTTTAAAACCACAACATCTGTTTTAATACTTACACTTCTGATGAAATCTCCCAAGTATCAGCTTTATTTTGATACCAAGATTATTTAAGCAGAGTTTGTAAATGCTGAGATACACTCAATTACATTTCAGCATGACATTTTAGGAAAAAACTTCAAGAAAACCCCGTGGGCTTAACAGGTTAACTGTCAAATAATCAGTACTGTAAGCCAGAGATGTGCACAAGTCTTTTTTTGCAAGTCCAAGTCATGTCTCAAGTCTCTTGACCTCAAGTCCATGTCTTACATGTATTACCTAACTGGCAGTTTGATCAAAGGTATTCTAACTGTACTAGATTGTATTCTATAATACTATAGTTTAATCAAGTATTAAAACATAGTATTATGTTTTAATATTACTATAAAAACATAATATTGTATTATAAATACAGATGAGGTTAAGGTTAAAATAACAATCCAGCATTTAGAGCAGGGGTGCCCAAACATTTTCCCTGAGAGGGCCAAAACTAAAATCAGTCTGAGGGTGGTGGGCCAAATGCAGTAATATAATACAGGAAATGCAAATATTTCAAGTAAAGTTGTATTTTTTATGATGGTTGCACACATTTTCTTGTTTGTTTGTTTGTTTGTTTGTTTGTTTGTTCAGCCCATGGACTTGGAGAAAATTCAACGTATGCTCGGGCAGAAAAGGCTCATGGGACTTTTCATGATTTTAAATTTGAGTATATGTGGTCTTATAAGGTGTGCAAATCTAGATATGGACTTAAATCTCATAAATATCTCTTGAAGTTACTTGTAATTTAAGTTTAAAATTAACAAAATTCAAAGATAAAGTGAGCACCATGAGTTAAGACTATCTGACGTCAGCTCCTTGTACATATAGTTGGACCAATGTTTGAAAAGACTAAGTGCAAATATAGCATTTCTACATAAGACAGACGATTACAACCTAGTAACCAGGATAACTGCTGGTGGGCCAAATCAAATGGCTTGGCGGGCCAAATTTGGCCCRCRGGCCCCACTTAGGGCACCTCTGATTTAGAGTATTTTTAGCTGTATTTTGCGCTTTTAGTCTTACAAAAGCATACTGTAATTATATCTTGGCATTGACAAGGAACAAATCCAACAAGTCTGCTGCTGATTTTACAATAAAATAATAGAAAACTCCATTTAAATGAATAAAAGGATGTCAGTGAAAATGATGAACCAGAATCCTTATAAATGGCTGCACAAGTCATCACAAAAACAAATGTTGGATTTGGACTCCACACACTTTGCATTTTGCCAGTCTCTTGCATGGTGTTGAATAAAATCTCTGTAATTATCCCTGCTGTAAGCATACCAGTCTGTTAGAGGAAGGTGTAAAAATACTGTTCAGCATTTGTTATTGTTTGTCTTTTGGCTGCTCCCGTTTTTGTGGGGGTTGCCACAGCGCCTGAACTTGTACCAAAGATTTGGCAAATACCTTTACACCAGGTGCTCTTCCTGATGCAACCTGAGCTTAAACCTGCAGCCTCAGACTAACCTCTGAACTACTGCAGCCTGTATATATTTATTACAGTAAGTGGCTTTTTTTAAAAGAAAAATCTAACATTTTTTACAGGCTTGTCAAATCTCTTGGTTTGTTAACATGTTTTAGATTTTATTCAAAATCATTATCATGCGCATTAAAAGTTGAAATTTTTTTTTTGTCAAACATGATTAAAATGAATCCACTATGTGAGTCAGACAACTTGAAGGTCCTGTGTGTGGGAATGAATCGAATACATTGCGTCTTAACTCTGACATCATCCAGTTTGTGCAGAAACTTTGTGGAGAATGTTGGGCTTATTTGCACATATCCTGTGTAAATCTAGATAAACTGAGCCCTGGCAGTTATATTATTCTACCTTGTCACATATAAACAAACAGCCTCAGTGAAACCAGTGTGAGTCTATGGATCAACATGAGAACCGACACGTCACCAAAATGCTGTCACTTATTTTCAAAAACAGACATTGACTTTGGCAGAAAGCTTCATTCAGCTACAGAATCAGCTGAAAGAGGCACCATGAATGGCCTCGGTGTTTCGTTTAAAATGTACCCCTCCCTTTGGAAACCTGCCAAGCACATTACTGCATTACCCAAAAGCTACACGTCTGCAAACAGCCCTCTGAAAGTCAATTACAGCCTGGCTCCAGCTGATAGAAACACTGCTGACTTTTAGTTTCTTCCTAATCGGCTGTGCTATAGCCCATAACTTGTCATATAATATGTTGGTAAGATATAGGCACACAAAGATGAAGTCATGGTTTATGAACTCTTCTAAGGTCTTCTTGTCATTGGGTCGCTAAGGTTTGTTTTATGCTTAGATATCAACAAGGTTTCTAGAATAAAGTCAACAAAGGAAAAAAATAAGCAACTGAGTTTTATTTAAACATTTAATGGAATACTTCGCATTTAGGAAAATACACAATTTTGTTTTTAAGAGAAGAAAATGTTCTTACTATAAATTCGAGAAGATCAGCCAAAGAAACTCAGCTTTATTACACACGAATAAACAGAAAAATTATCTTTGATTATGTACATGTGTGATTTTTTTTTGTTTGCTTGTTTTATTCATGCAAAGAACATGTGAATTTTGGAAGTGCCGGTTAGAGGTACAGTAAATTAGAGGCTGGCTCTCCAAACATGTTTTTATGGAAATTTTTCTGAAGTCTTGTTAATTAAGAAGAAAAAAAACTTTACTTCAATCGCAAAATGCCCACTGGAAAAAATAATTTTTGGATCTGTAAAGCCTTTTTTTATCTTCCACATTATCACTGAATGAACCAGTGCAGTTTGCTATTTTCACAAGTCTGTCCAGTTGTTCTTCAGTATTAAGCACAGCAAGTTGACTTGTCAGTGATGGAGCCAAACAAAACTACACCAGGCCCCAAGTGGATGACCTTAACCCGAGTTTAAGCCAGCTGGCACTTTGTGCTGTGATTTTATACTTGATCAATGCACACTGGTGTCTCTGTGTAAACCTTATATGGAGAAACAATCCTTAGTGCCCCCATGCTGGAATTATTGGTATTGAGAATGTATTGTGTTTCTGTCTCATTCAGCAGCTCGGTGCAGGTTGGCTGTCAGCCCGCTCAAAGGCAGGTCAGCCCCGGCCGTTCAGCGTACATTCTTTTAAAATCTGGGTTCTATAGTCAAGTGGAGTGGTAGTGTATATTTTATAATAAAATGATAATTAAAAAAAGTAATGTAACAGATTTAAAATAAAGTTTTTGTGTTTTTTACTCATGTTGCTTTGGAAGGATTGTGACGTTTGCAACAGAAGATAAAATGGCATTAAAAGTAAGACAAGATTAGGATCTTCATGTGTCGTGCTCAGAAGCACTGACTCTAAAAGCTGATGCTTTTTTGTAAATCAAGAGTCAACTCCCCAATTCTTTTTTCCCCTTTTGCTGGCCTCAAAATGTGAGGATAGGATCAAGGGATTAGGAGATGGGGACAGACGGGTGGAGAAAGCACCTTCAAAGTAAAAGTTTGATAAAAATATAAAACAAATTTAGAAATGCCTGCTTACACAAAATTAAAATATAAGGGTTCTTAGAAAAAGCAAAAATGTTTATCAACACACAAAGCGTTCATATTTGCCAAATTAAGCTAAAACGAGGCTACATGTGATAATAGGTTAAGAGGTGTTTTGAAGCCATAAAAATCAGCTCTTCTTTGAGAGCTGTGCCAAAAAAAAGGAAAAAAAACTGAAAAGACCTGAAAATAGCCAAACTTCCTATTACTATAACCTAAATATTATTTTAAACTGCTATTGCTTTCTCCAGTTATTGTTTTTTCTTTTCTGTCCACGCATTCTAAATAAAGCACTACAATGACTACGCCACACCACTAGGTGGTGAGAACATCCTGATTAACAACATATCAAACCAGAGAAACAGCATGCTTAGCCTAAGATTTCTCCAAAACTGGTTGACATTCTGTTTACATTTTTCCATCCGTTTTTAATACTTTCAGCCCACTATCAAAACAGTGACAAGAACTAAATAACCAGACCAAGCCAGAAAAAAATTGTAGACACAGCACTATATTTGTTTGTTTCTTGATCGTAAAATTACATTTGGCAGCAAGCAAAATAGGTGTTTAAGTCATAGTTTAATGTATATTACCAGTTCACAAAGGAAGCACTAGAAACAGATTTTATTTTAAATCTCCAATTTGGAAAACATGTGGAAAACAAAAAGAAGTTTTTTTCTTACCTAAACCTCAGTTTATATGTTATAGAGCACCAGCACGGACATCGAGAGATTTTTTTTTCTTTTACGTTCCCACTCAATCTTACTGAGTGACAAGTGTAACTTTTGGCAACCACAGACTAAATATTCTTATATTTAATGCTGATTTCATAATAAAACTCCATAAACCTCAATCACAGGTGTAGTGTCTGTTACAATGGCTGCTGTCTGGTTTGGCAACTATCCCACAAAATATTGCGAAGTAACACTAAAATATTTATTGTACCTGACTTTTTTTTTTAAATAAATTCACATGTGCACCATTATACAGGAGTTACTATTTTATTTCAGACATATTGAGAAATTATCACAGTTTTTTTAAAACTCAGCTTCAAACATTTTTATGCATATGAGCCGGCCTGTATAGAAAT